AATTAGCGTAAGGCCTAGTCTAAATTTACCAGATTATGAACTAGAACTATTGCAAAAATTAAAACAAATTAATAAGGTACTGGCATATACTTTATGGAAGAATTGTATATCTGAGATCTGTATATTACACCCACTTCTCTTTTACCTCAAACTTGTCATCAAGCTAACGTAAAGCTGGAAAATAATAAAAACACGTACAATGCATAACTACCTTGAAGTCAAATTCAATTGTGATAGGAGGCAGGGTCTCTTCTGCTAAGCTCTTACTCTAAAATTGTAGTAGCCTAAGCTACGTCTGTATCATCACTGGCCATGAATGCTGGTTTAACTTACCAAGCAAGAGGAGTTACTAAACCTTGAGAGGTCTTAATTGTTTCTCCCACTTGGTAGCTAAGCATACCTACACTTACGTTTCCTTAAAACATTGAAGGTGAACCCAGAATGTATCGTTGTGATGGAATTTCTACTGGCATCCCTTCAATAAGCAGACCATGTTGATGTCTAGATTAGCCTGACGTTAACAATAGGACCAATCCATTGGCTGAAAGAGATGGGGTCATATAGATCTTGCAACATTGTCAACCAGTGTGAGATCATAACTTTTAATTTCTTCAAAGTTCATGAAACATTTCAGAGCTGCATAATCTACTCTGGTAGTAAGGTTTTTATCATACAAATAGTGGCAACAGTGCTTAATAAATATTACAACTCTAAATAATCATTTCTTTGAGGTTCAGTGGACATCATTATTTGACTTGTGTATGCTATAACATGCTCTACATACTGTCCTACACTTTTGACAGCAATACTCTGAATTCATTGTCATAGGGATCTATATTCAGGATGAGCAGAACACTTTGATTCGTTTAAGCCAACGAAGACGTTATAGTGAGTGGAATGATACTGTCCAGTTTTTATTCCATCTGCAATGAGATAACTGACCTTAGGTAATGCAGGAAGTTGTGTTTCAGTAGTAGAGAAGCTGGCTATAAAGGATCTATAATATCACGAAAACCTATTTCTAGGTTTGGGCTAGTCTGCCACTGATTGCATTTTAGCAGGATCTGTAGACACTTCAACTTCACTCACTCTATATCCAAAAAAAACCTACATGCAGTCACATGAGATAGTATCTCTTTCTGCATCCAATTTTAGGTTAATTTGTCTTTAATATTGAAATACCATTCGCGGATTTCCAATTATAAAATGAAATTTTCAACCAAAACCTAAATTGTCACTTACATTTATAAGATTGCTTCCATTGCAAACAAAGTACTGCACATTCCACCAGCCATTAAAAAGCGAAATGAAACATACACAGGTCTAATGGCATGATGAAAAATTCATATAAAACTTCTTGAGTGCCTTTATCATCTAGTTTGACTTGTAAGTGATTGGAACAGCAGGAATTTCTCAATGCATCTACAAGTGGGTTTGTGTATAGCAACAGAAATGTATCACACTTTAGCGTGCCTTTTTCACAATTACTATCAGAATTAGATGGACACTTTGTAAAAACTGAATTCGTCTGTCATTAAGCATCTGATTTATATCAGTGCTAGATAAATCTATAGTATTCCAAAAAAGCCCTTATGATAACTACTTTATAGGGTATACAGCTTGGTCCAATATTATCTTTCCTATTTCGAAATTTAATAATTAAATAAGGAAATACACCCATGCAATTTTCAACATCTTGTAGCCCAGCTCGAACATTATTTATTGATATGTGAGCAGACTTCTACGTGTGCACCAATAGTGGCTCTCAGCACGTCTAACAATATTCAATTTCAGCCCACGTACGCTGAAATATGTCCACAGTTGCAGTGGCGACGGCGTGCGTTATTCTGGTCTCTAGCTAGGTGATATATGTTAGAGGTGTGCCATACACGATACCTTTAACATACCCCTATACTTCTTTCCTGTACTAGCGTCTGTAATTATCCTGCATCATAGTTACTCATTTGATCTCTGCAAGCCATACGACGCATTGAACATTTTCTTGCTTGGTTGCTATTTTACGGGGTTACCCTACTCACTCGAGTGAAAAAAACAACATGACAATAAAAAATATTTGAGTTGGGCTACAAGATGTTGAAAACTGCATAATCATATTTCCTTAGTTATTTAATTATAAATTTTAAAATAGGATATAAGATTTTGGACTACCCTGTATATTTATATTGTCTCTATGATTTTGGAAGATGTTTGCTTTTCTCAGCTGGCAGCCTTTCTAACAAATGCATAAGTAAATTATGCCATGCACATCTGACTTTTCTCTGGTGATCTACACTCGTATTTTCTTTACAATATTCAACTAACAACTAACTTAGAGCCAACAAAACATTTTCAAGTTGGTATTATACAGCTGAAGTATCGATAGCTATAACACTAGTTTCAGTTAGTTTTCTTTCACATATCACATCAAAAATCATTCCAGATAGTCACGTGGATACTTAGTTACCATAATTACAAACAATAATTGGAATAATATATCTTGCTTTTGGAGAAATAACACTCTGAGCAAGCTTAGATTGGTTTATTGACCGACCACCTCTGGCTTTTCTTTAACCATAGCATTAGCTAGTAGTGCAGTCTAGGACTGTGTTTAAAATCACTTCAATTCACTACTTGCACATTTGGCTGAATTGTATTGTCCTAGTTCCATATGCGCTCATACTGTCTAATGTTTTTATGACTAAACCTAAAGTCCCAGAGCTTGACCTAAGACCCATGACAACTCCCACGTGCTTAGTGATTGTGCCAACAATTATGTGGAGTTGAGCTGTTTCATTCACTGTATGTCTATAACCAATGGCATAGAAAAATCCATTTTAACTGGTCAGATTAGTAGTTTACATAGCAGTTAGCGATACACCCTGTCATTGAATAGAGAGAGCTCCAGTGGTTACTGTAATACTTACAAACTCCATCTTGTCCCTGTGCATTTTTATGGTAAAGATCAAGCCACTCTTGGTCTTCATACATGATGAACTGAGCACCATTTAACATCAACGACTGTGAAGTCAGTGCCAATAGAAGCATCAACTATATCTCTTGATCAGCTGGAATCTTTAATTTCTCTTGAATTCTAAAATTACCTCTCTTGCTTGCCTGCGTATATATTACGATGGTAGTGGCGTCATTGCGCAAGGCCAGTGGTTTATTTCTACATGATGAAAACACTTTCCTCTTCATGGGAGGACACCTAGCTGGTCCAGGTATTTGTTGTCTTAATTATAATATCAGTATATAGCAGGGAAGGTCTTGTTAGCAAAAAATCTGATGTAAATTATTTGTTCTACAGATCTCATAAAGGATCTCCACACCTTTACAATCAGTCTGCTCTTTTTGGCATATTTTCACATGATTTTTGAGTGAGAAAAATTGACCAAGATTGTAGTTCACTTATCTTGGTTGATAGCTCAAGCGTTAAGTCCTGGAATGCTTTCTGAAGTGTTGGAGAGCACTCTGTAATTAACAGAAGGGTTCTCAAAACCAGTAAGGAGATTCTTTGATCTCACTTTCAAACCAGTTTGTCTTTCATCTTCTTTACAATTAGTTTTATCAAAATTCAGAGACATCTCTTGGAATGTATCATACTAAGTGCACGAGAGAGAGAGAGAGAAATACTTCAAGAGAATTAATAAAGCTAACTAATACATTTTGAATGCTTAGACCCTTTTCATCATTCAGCACCAAGTTCTTGCTTAATCTACGAGATCTGTGATGTTCGGAACTCCATATAGAGAAGGCACACAAACACTAAATAACTACAACAAAAGAGGCTTGAAGACCTAGTATGTGGAGAAGCGAGTGTAGTGATTTGTTACCAAATTAATGAGTGCAATAGGATTCAGTGATAAGAAGCCGAGATAAGTGCTTCATCATTAAATGTTACACTAAAGACAATGTCTGACTATGGTATGGTGTAGGTCTATTGGATTGAGTAGAAAACATTGATTTAAAAAACATATTTAATTGTAAATTAAAAGAAAATGTATTTACCAGTGGAAACTGCAATGAAAATGTAAAGTAAACTATTCATCTTATTAAACTAAAATTAAAGTGATATTAAAATAACAAAACCACTATGCACACGGTCAACAGAAAGAACAATAACCTTATTGAGGAATAATGCAGACCAACCTCTATTGGCACATCTTAGCACACCAGTCTCAAAATGTCAAACTGTTCTAGAATCTCAGTTCTCTTTATAACTGGCCAGCACAAGAATATTGAGGTGTTTTTGTTTGATTCCAGTGGCAGTTAAAGCACAGATAGCCTATTGTGTAGCTTTATGCAGCAAAACAAACGCAAAAAATTTTAAATAATTATATCCTATTTCAGTTTCGATAAAAAAAAAAAAACATTCTATAGGAATATATTTAACAAGCCTCCTAGTGGCACAGCGGTATGTCTGCGGACTTACAACGCTAGAAACCGGGTTTCGATACCCGTGGTGGGCAGAGCACAGATAGCCCATTGTGTAGCTTTGTGCTTAATTCCAAACAAACAAAAACAATATTTAACAATATTAATGAATAGTTTCAAAAACCACTTAAACTAATATAAGATATATTTTCAGTTAATGTTTACTTCCACTTCTATAGTCTTATGTGAGTACTTTGTATATATTGCCGTATTGCATGTTTAGAATTGTTTTCTATTAGTAAGTTCGACGTCCTTTTTTCTTAGCGTGACTCTTCCTCATTTACTTTTTAGAACAGATTAAATGCTGACAAACATGAAAGAGTACCATATAAAAGAAAAACATATCCAACCAAAACTACAAATAGAACAGTGACTTACAAAACAAGTTTCATTGGTCAAAACCGTAACTAATGTTGTTGCTAGTTATTTTACTCACATAACTCCAATCTCAGAGTACAATGAGCACGAATGAGTTGAGATGTTTCTTCTTCGTTGGTTTATGTTTGAACTTATTGACTGTAAAAGTAGAATCAAATGACATAAAATCAAAATATTTCGCCCACAACATGTGGGTAACGCAAATAGTTGGAATATTCACCCAGTTCGACGGTGAACTTCAGTATGAATATTCAGTTATCAAGTCAGCTGTTGAAGTTGCTGTTGAAAAAGCAAAGATCAAGTATCCTGATATAACATTTGAATTTACGGCATATAACAGTTCTTCAGCAAGCATTAACGACCATGCCGTAGTAATAGCATCTAGAGAACACTATGAAAGGCATGTTAGTATATTCATTGGACCCAGCGCTACACAAGAGCTAGAACCTGTGGCAAAAATGGCTGCAGCCTGGGGAATTCCAATTTGCACAGCGGGAGGAATGGACGTAGAGTTTCTAAACAAAATATTATATTCTACTCTATTAAGAAATGGTATAGTTCTGTCCCGTCTCGTTCACTTTATCATGACATATTTCCACGTCCTGGACTGGCACCGGATTGCTGTGCTATCTGACGAGACCGACAAGTGGGGATCTCTAATACACAAGAGCATGAAGAAATTCTTGACAGAAGTTGATCACGAAGTTAGGACGTATTTCCAGTCATTTTCTCGTTATTCCAGAGTGAAAACAAATTTTACCTATTTGTTATCAGACTTGAGAAAAACGGCTAGAAGTAAGACGTTACAGTTAGGGGTTTTATTTCTTTGTCGTAGACTTACAACTAACCTTTTTAGATTCATCTATTACTGTAAAAACGTAGATTAGTAAAAACAACAAGGTTAATGTTGAATTACAATTCAATTACATGATTCCTGTTAACACGAGTTACAATATTTTGTGAATAACTATTTCGTATATGTTGTGTCATATTTTCAGGTAACGCTAATCATTGTTTTTTTAGAATAACAGCACTTGCTATTCTGAACCGAGAGGTGTCGATTTAATCATGAGCTAATTTTAAGATTTTTAATTTAGTAGGTATTTCTTATCTTGTAAAAATCAATTTTAAAAAGAATTAGAATATATTAAAGTGTGTGTACATATATATATATTACAAACAAAAGTGTAGAACCTCTAGACTAAAGATGTGAGCAAAAATCTCATTGGACAGTAATATATACATGTATATTACAAACAAAAGTGTAGAGCCTCTAGACTAAAGATGTGAGCAAAAATCTCATTGGACAGTAATATATATATTACAAACAAAAGTGTAGAGCCTCTAGACTAAAGATGTGAGCAAAAATCTCATTGGACAATATAACCTTTAGTACCAAGCACAAAATAACAAACTTTTGGCAGGTATTTTTTTCATTATGATGAAATAAGACATTATTTAAAAAAAAGAATGAATTATCAACAAATATAGCCGTAGATAAACAGCGTGAAGAGCAAAACAAAACTGAATGATCTTAATTAAAATATATCTTATGAAGTCAAACTTTAGGAAATTAGATTAAAATTTAAATCCTACGTTTGAGAAGTCATTGAATGTCAAAAAACAGAATTGCTAGTATAATCCTAATCAGCTAAATAAGTTATATTTTAATAACTAATATGAGTATTATATTACAAGCACTGTTTGTGTAAGTTAGGCACAAAGCTACACAAGTGGTTCTCTGTACACTCCCCACCACGGGTATCGAAACTCGGTTTCTAGCGTTGTAAGTCCACATACATACTGCTGTGCCACTGGGGGGTTACAAACAGTGTAAAATGTTAACTTTTAATTTTAGTAGCAAAAGACTTAGAATACAACATTAGTACATCTGTCTATTTCTCGTTGATTATATCTGTTAGTTTTGGTAGTAGTGAAAGTTCTAGAATATAGCACTACTACATCTATCTATTTCTCTGTGATTAATAAATGTTAGTTTTGGTGGTAGTGAAAGTTCTAGAATGTAGCACTACTACATTTGCCTATTTATTGTTGATTATATCTGCTAGTTTTGGCTGTAGTGAAAGTTCTAGAATACAACACTACTACATCTGTCTATTTCTCGTTGATTATATCTGTTAGTTTTGGTGGTAGTGAAAGTTCTAGAATACAACACTACTACATCTGTCTATTTCTCGTTGATTATATCTGCTAGTTTTGGCTGTAGTGAAAGTTCTAGAATACAACACTGCTACATCTGTCTATTTCTCGTTGATTATATTTGTTAGTTTTGGTGGTAGTGAAAGTTCTAGAATACAACACTACTACATCTGTCTATTTCTCGTTGATTATATTTGTTAGTTTTGGTGGTAGTGAAAGTTCTAGAATACAACACTACTACATCTGCCTATTTCTCGTTGATTATATTTGTTAGTTTTGGTGGTAGTGAAAGTTCTAGAATACAACACTATACATCTGTCTATTTCTCGTTGATTATATCTGATAGTTTTGGCTGTAGTGAAAGTTCTAGAATACAACACTACTACATCTGTCTATTTCTCGTTGATTATATCTGTTAGTTTTGGTGGTAGTGAAAGTTCTAGAATATAACACTAGGAGATCTGTCTGTTTATCGTTCATTGTTCAACGTTTATATAAAAATGAATTATTAAATATAAAGAGTGTATAATAAACCATTTACTGGAAAACATAAATTTTAATAAAATCACTTTGTATTCTAGAGTAATTTTTCACTTAGTTGTCAACTAAGACATTGATATGCTTGAGAAAACCGATAAACATAAGTTTACAATAACACAATAAGAAACAAATCTGAATCACATTTCTATTTCTCTACCTACAAGTTTTCATCATTATTGGAACTGGACAGATCTTGAGAGAAATCCTTTTTGCAGCATATGATCTTGGAATGAGCAACGGGGAATACGCTTTTCTGAGCGTTAAGCTTTTCAACAACAGGAAGTCTTTCGGGGAATTCACGTGGTTCAAAAAAGACGATCCTCGAAATGCGGTAAATTTTTATTTTCTAAATATTTTTGAAATTATGTATGAAACTACCGAAGGAAAAATATGGCATACATGGAAATAATTTATCAATTATATATATAAGATTATGTACAATTAGTTTTTATTGTTTTATTTATATTTCGGATCTTTTGATCTTTTATGAAAACTTTAGAAAAAAAATAATTAAGAAGCATTTGTTCTTCGGATGAGAGCATATTTTTACTGATCCTCGAATTTTTATAAATTGAACATTTTATTAATTCCCTTTTATAAATGAGCAAAATCAATATTCACCAACTTATATTCAATGACGAGTCAAGAGTTTACACCTCTGTAGACCCATTTTCTCGTTTACGCCCCTAAATCTACTTTAAACAGAAAATGTTTTCGTTATAATATTATTTTCGTTTAATGTCGTATTCCTTAATGAAACTAACTGTTTTTGTATTAAAAACACATATATTCTATTATTATTTGTTGATTCAAAGAGATCAAGTAAATAACGATCAAACAAACCTGAGTCTTTCAGAAAAAAACTAATTTAGACATTTTTACTGGTCCTACGTCTTTCATTTCTATATTAGTTAAATTGCCATCCAGCTTCTTTCAAAATATTTACAATTACTGTTGATGTTTCTCACTGGCTGTAATCTGAAAACAGATTATGAATTTTTGATATATATACATCCGAGTAATATTTGGTCTAAATTTGACATTTGAAAACTAAGTCTTGAGAAACTAATAATTTTGAAACTAACCAATATAATATATAACTTTTTCACTAAAAATCACATTTTATTGCTTATGATCCGATGCGTTTTTATGGCTCGTCCTGACCTAGCGTCTTATCCTAATTATTTTTAGGATGCCCGAAAGATATACGAAGCCCTATTATTGGTTACGGTTCAAGTTTCAGCCGACTCTGAATATAGACAGTTTGTTCAAGATGTAATAGAACACTCTAGCAAACAATTTAATGTTAGTGTGGAAGAAGAATCAGTAAGTACGAATATCTACTTGATTTTATTGATAATATCAACATTTTAATATACAGTTCTAATTAGACTAATGAATATCAGTGTGGAAGAAAACTTGATAGGTACAGATATCTACTAGTAGTAGTGAAGTTTGGCTAAACTGTTTGACTTTTACATACCATTGACTCGTTAGACGTCCCTTTACCTGTGACCTATTACACAGTTTTACTTAAGATGTGCTCTTCATACCATTGACTCGTGTGACGTCACTTCACCTGTGACCTTTTATAGAGTTTTACTGAAGATTGTGCTCTTCAATGAATTTGGATTGTCCCACTGGTTGTGAAAAGTGTTTAGACGTGTCATGACCATCTTGAATAGTTGCGTATCCCCCTGGTTGTTTTCGGATATGACATAATTATCTTTGAAATGACACTCTCTAGTGGATACAGCCATCTTGGATGCACCTTTTGGTGATGGTTTCAAGTTTTTATGGGATGCAACGATCTTAAATTATTCCTCTGGTGGTAGGTTTAGACATAGTATAGCCATTTTAGCTAAACACAATGATCTTCATTGGCCGCAACCATCTTTGATAATGGAGACAGGACACATCTTTTATGGTGGAACCACCATAGCAGAGGTTTTAGACATTTAGAAAACAGGAACAATCATGATCTAATAACACCGTTCATGAAGGAACTTTTCAACTCATTTAATTTAAATACATAATGAGACAGAGAAGACACCCCATGCCTGTGGTATAGAAATGACATTAGTGACAACACTCTGAGCTTCTGCTAGATGATCATATGTCTGTTGATGTGTTAGTGTGGTGATGTCTGTTGATGTGTTGGTGTGGTCAGTAAAACATCATTATACTTTCTATATGTAAATTACAACCATATTACAACATCGAGGAGTTTAATTTGTATGGTTTGGTCATACAAATTTACGTGTATTCAATTATAAAATCATGGTTAGGCTATTTATATGTTTGTGGAATAGTCTGATATACAAAATAAAAATTAGATTAAGCTTAAATTGCATGGCACATTTTTTATATATTTTGCTCTATAAGTACTCATTTATAATTTAATTGGGTGACTCAGAGCGTTTTATTATGATTCAAAATGGTACGTTTCTAGCTTCAAGGTAAGTTTAACAAAATAACTACTAGCTGAATTACCAGTGAATGGAAAAAGCAAGCATAATTTTTTGTTACGTTAAATATTCATACTGAAACACGTTATTTTGGGCGGTTCTATCTTATTCATTATGGCCCCACAATTAGCATCTGTGATTACATCTTAATATACGTAATAAAAAATAAGCCTAATATATTTTCAAGTCTAATTTAAATGTATATCAATGTAATAGGTTTAATATAAATATATATATAACTTTTTTGTCCAATTTAAGTGCATAACTATGTCTTATTCAATTTATGTAAATGAATAAATTTCATATTTTATATTCATGGCAAAGCTACTATATCTTTATGTTTCTAATACTATGTTACTATGTTTCTAATTTTAAACTATTGAACAAAGGGAAGACAGCCAATCAGCAGCATCCTATCACCCATCGTCCAAGTTAAGAGATTGACAATTACTTTATCTTATAATACACCCACAACTTAAAGTACGCGAAATAATATTCAGTGGTGTCTCATGGATTCGAACACTGGGGTAATCAGCTTCAAAAGCCAGAAATCTACCACAGGGATAATTCAAGCCTTGCAATGGATTAAAATATATATATAATTACTTGTATTTTTCAAAACTATTTATTAACATTAAATTTATATGTATTTCTATCATAAGTTTTAGCATCATATATACATAAAAATAAATTTCAGGTGATAACAATGTGTATATTGTACTTATAGGTCTAATAGTTTACCGAGGCCATGATTCGGTGACTTCTGGCTTGCTCGTAACGTATCAAATTAAATTTACTGGCGTTTAATATAATTAAATTCAAAAGTATGCGTAGCTGTTTCTTGTTTATAATTTTTATACAAGGTGTAAAAAAATTATTGTTCATATTGAATGACTCACAGTACAAGAGACGCTAGTGAATGTTATAAAGTGTACTAATCATAATAGTTTAGTGTCTATTTGTAATGTATTCTGGTATCCCGTAGGTGTAAGTGTATTGCTACAACACCCCACACACACACAAATTGCGGGAACATATCAGACAGCGGCATAACACAACAAGCATAAAATTGTTGTTGTTTTTAAAGTAGAAGCCCATCTACTCAAAACCGAGATTGGTTATCTTTGTTTTTAACTTTTAGCCCAAAATGTCTTTTGATTTTTATCCAGATCTTCTCTCAAGAAATAAATCTAGATAATGCTTAAAATGGCATCGAAATTCACTTTTAAACCGAATATGAAGCTATAGGATATAGAATGTTTTAGCTATGTACGAGTAAGATTGTTAATAATTTACATCATACTAATTCCATTCACTAATCATGATGAGTTTTTCTGACCTCTCTAAGAACAATATAATTACATCATGATTGTGTTTGGCTGCAATTTATCTGAACTCATCACCGGGGACTCAACCAAAATGGTTAACTCCAAATGAGGGCAAATGACGTCATCAAGGCGAGAGTCATGTAAAGGTCAGAATTCACAGCAATTTAGTCCAACCCTATTACCACTCCTTTTTAACGTTATTGATCATCTACAATTATAATACAGCGCTCTAATACACGATCTTATAACACTGTGAAAGAAGGCTTAGAAATATGAATACCTACTCCACTCAATAATGATAATAATACTCAACTACTTTCTTCTCTCTTGTCTTGGTTAATACTTTATACGCTCGCCTAAGTTTAATTATTAATTAGTAAATTATTATTATTATTGATCATTAAATATTTTTATCCTACATCTCGCCTGCTAACCCGTTATCGTCTCCAGGGAAAGCCTGAGAATGACTATTCTCTGTGTTGATAGAGGTCGGAATTCATTCATGGGTTTTCCTAATCGAAGTCTTTTGTATGTCCACTCGACTGATATCTTTCCCGTTAGAACTTGAATCACTTAATTTTTTAAATCTTTTCAAGAGGGGTACCCAGGTTTTGCTAATTTCTATGCTGGGTCGCCTGAGTGTGTTATTATGTGTGGTTCATATCGTTATCCACATTCACAGGAGATGCTGTAAATGGGGTTTTATCCCTCCATTGGGCCTTTATATGGTTTGGAGTGTACTAATTGTAGTCGTATTGGGCTATGGCTTCTGAATACCATTCTGACTTTTGTTGTTTACACATTTTCTGTATGTTTTTAGAGCGACTTCTGAGAATGGAGAATATGGCTGTAAGTCAGTAATTTACTCTCTGTTTATTCTCGGTGCAGCCTGAGCATTCTGGGGACATTCTCTATACAGTAGGACCATGTTAAACTGTTCTACAACTGAATACTTTATCACTATTTAAATTACTGAAGGACAACTACAGCACAATTACATGATTCTGCAAAGTTCTGATTTTGCACCTAAAATATAGGTTTGTGGAACCTTTGCTATAATAAAACTTTGAACAACTGTAGCATGACTCCACACGTGTGGAAGGGTTGCATTTATATCAATACCTCTTATTTTTGCTATTGACATTTTATATACTATCCATACTTAAAACTCTGACTGACATAACCTTGGATGACCTTGTTGATATAATCTTGACACGTCAATTATATTCCTGTACCTCTTCGTTTCTAACTTATTTTCCTGTCATGAAAAATGGTAACTAGTGAGTTACGGGGATATTTGGTCTATGTAAGACAGATCTTAAAATATTAATTATAGCTTAAGCTGCATTTTTAAATATTCAGGTGTACTACTTTCCGGACTTTCTCCAATACTACGTCTAACTTTCTTTAATTTTGTCAATATTCTCATTTCTAATCTGTCACGTGAACGTGACATTTTATTGAATAATTTTTGCAGACACTTTTTATAGTTATAACGCGTCTTGCGTACTTATCTTCTTTGAAGTTCACATTCATTGAAAATGGGAAATATGTAGATGTATTATTTTCTGCGGATCATAGTAATAAGATAAATATAAATATGATAAAACAGTGACATTTTTTCACGTACACCATTCAGACTGAAAAATCATTTTATGTTTGTTTCTCTGTAATTAAGCACAAACTTGCACAATGGAATATCTGTGCTTTGCCCACCACGGGTATCGAAATCTGGTTTTTAGTGTTGTAATTCCGCAGACATGCCGCTGTGCCACTGGGGGACCTCATTTTATGTTTAGTAACATTAATTATCAGACATATATTCCATAATTTTCATTGACAATAAAATTATATTTACTCACCAACATACTAAAATAATAATCTCACTATTATGTGTGAAAAAATATGTTGAAACGTTGTTAATGAGTTACATATGTCTCTATTATGATCATATTTTGAAAGCTACTGTGTATCAGTATTTAATATTTTAAAGGAACACTCAGGGAGATAATTGTATTGAAAACGTTTTCCTTTAGTCTTGTACGATTTCTTTTTCTTCAGACTATACGTATACTGTATGATAAACTAATACCGTTTACCCGTGCTTCAACGTGCTTTATAACAGTAACATACCTAGTATACAGTAACAGTTTGGAAATGATATATTTAATAACCCCAACATCTCTACTTTCTTGTCTTAAGCGGTTTAGCATTCATTATTGTGTCTTTCATGATAGAAAATTCACTAAATTTGTATCAATGTTCTCCTTCAGCTATTTGTCGACTTTAAAAAGTTGGTCATCATGGTGGAATATATGTCTTTTCATAATGATTACCCACTGTCTATAAATAGCATGTTTTTCTTTTGGAAGGTAAACGTCATAATTGCCGGTTTCCACGACTGTGTCATGATGTATGCTGCTGCCTTGAACAAAACTTTAGTTGAAGGTGGAGATCCAAGAGATGGATATACTCTAATCAGAAGTTTGTGGAATAAAACATTCGAAAACGGTATAACTTTATATCATTAACTTGACGTTTCTTTTAATTTACAGAATGTAGATTTCACATATACATTTGTTCTTTAGGAAAACATAAAATGAAGGGTTTCAGCTTAAACACCGGACGCTTCCTAACATAAAACCTAGTACAGTTTGCTGATTGATTCAATATGACGTGCTTATAATTTAAAATAACAATTAATGATACGTGTATAGGTACATTACAAGCCAACCTATATCTTTTTCTTTTATGGGCCATACTAAATTTAAAGTATCATTTAACTCAATTTCAGACCATTTGAAATTGTAATACGTAACAATTCATATATATATATGACATGAGTTTGAAAAAATAGAGAAAACAACAACATGTTAAGTATTTGACATTACTTGGGCAACTATTTTTTCTTTTACTCTTCTATCATAAGTTAAATTCTACTTTGGATTTAGTAGTTAAATTGTATTTGGATTTAGTAATTAAATTGTACTTTGGATTTAGTAGTTAAATTAAAGCCGATATATAGTCACTTTACGATATTTGCCAACAAGATGGATACACACCGTTTTCGTTTTTAATACAAATATATTTTAATATACAACCAATAATACAATTTACAATAACAGTTATTACAAATAGTTATTACAAACAATGATTTATATACAAAAGTTTCACAAACTTGCAAGCAATATAAAGTCTTATTTCTAGTGTGGAACTTTCTTGATATCCTATTAAGGATTGACGATGAGTGAGTTAAGTTCGAGTTGACGTAGATACAATTCACTTAATAGAGAGCTAGCTAGCTCTGTAGTTCTCGCTAATCACACGCCAATTATAGGTCGAGTTTCTTTTACAGCTGAAGTTATATAATATCTTCGTAAAAGTACTAATGTCTGATGTGAATCCACTGAAGTTAAATGATTGGTAATGTTCAAAATTTATAAATGTTCCTGATCAAATATCTAAAGTTTTCCGATTGATAAGCGTTAATCACAATTATAGCGTTCGAGATTTATAGTATACCAAGTACCAATAACATATATACTGTTTTTTGGCGCGTCGCGTTGGTTATATTTATAGGCGTGTGGAGAGTTTCTCGAAATTTCAATTTTATGTAACAATACTGACGCTAACACTAGTGATTACATACACATATAGGCGGGAGTTTTGCAATACGTATTTAACAGTATAAGTTATGTACATTTCTAAATATAAATTTAATTTAAGCAAACATCGGTATTAACATAAATATATAATAATAAATCCGTCACAATTACCAGACATAAACCAATAATTGCTACTACTATATCAAAACAGCAGACATAAACCATCAATTACAAAATAAGTACCAGTAATTATTAGTGTTATAATATCCATTAGAAGAGAAATACTAACAGCGAGCAATAATATACCAAAAAGTACTAGACCTAAAGTCTTAATCACAAATAAATCATCATCAATAACACAAAGTGATGCTCTAGAGGTGAACGGTAATATTACAAAGCAAATTTCAAAAGTTCCCTAATATATCTGGAAGTACCACATACAAACTAACAATTATAAGACAACAAGCAAGATATATCAGTAATACATAAAAAATAACCAGATATAAAGCATTAATTACAAAACATTTATCAGTGATATATGAAGAATAATCAAGCTATTATAATAATGATCTAGTAGTTACAAAAACAATACTAAGAGTTATCAGTGATACACCAACAATATCCATATATATTTATATATATATATATACCAAATATTACCAGAAATAAAGCTTCTTACTTTAAGGATGATCCATTATGTATATGTGTGTTTTAGTATCCATCACCCATATTTGGCTAGTTCGATTACCGTATATTTTGGTACAGTAGCTGAAAACTGTCTTACGGTGTATTTTGGCTACCTTGTTTTAGGAGTTTTGTCCGACAAAAGGGATAAAAAAACGCTCTAAAATATGGTACATTTCCATTTTTTATAGACTTTGGCTTTGAATTTAAAATACAAGTATTTAATTAATTAATGAGTCAATTATTACTTTTCACAAACCAGGTAATATAACTGTCATCTAATGAGACCATTAGTAATTTAATAACAAAAGAACGAAAAGGAGGAACATTATCTCTGTCATTGTCCTTTATACAATTTTTGCATCCTTAATGGGTACGATCAGCTAGTTTATTATAAACAAAATTTAAAAAGTTATCAGCAATACACTAAAACTTACTAGCCATGTAGTATCAGTTGATAGACAAACACCAATAGTTATCAACAACAGAGCAAGAATTAACAAACACAAACCAACAGGTAAAAGAAAAATACAATGAGTTACCAGTAACAAGAAGTACCAAACATAAACCGTAAATTAAAAAAACAAATAGAAAGTGTTATCACTATCACACACACACACAATAACCACCATTGCTTATAGCATTGATTACAGAAAATACAAATAATTATTTATTATACACTAGTAATTACCAAACATAAAGCATTTAATAAAAAGCAGACATAGGTAATATGCTAAGAAGTGAGAGAGTAATATCAAGAGTAATACAGTGGAATTCTGAGATACACTATTGCCACACAATATGGGATAGGCCCGCTAATAACAACAGGGTCGAATGGGAAAATTGCCACGTTATCTGACTCGTAAATCTTCACAGAGTTTTTAAGTTGCATAAGAAATAAATAGACTGGCTTTTAAGGACTGTGAAAAAGTATTTATTAAATACAACAGTGTGCGTATCTGTTTGAACAAGTGGACGATCATTTCTGCTGTATGAGAGACTAGACCTTCAGCTTTTCTTTTGTTTAATCGAATCTTTGCAGAACTAGTCATTATGAAAGCCAATTAGAACTCTATTACGATGGCATTACCACATAACTGATCACTCTCTTCCTGCATTAAAAGATTGTATTTTTACAGGGGATATGATATGATAGAGGGACACAGAAAGAATACAAGGTCTCGCTAGAACCAAGAAACCACAATGGCCTTCTGAACTAAGTGCTTTTATACCATCACTACATAGCAACAACTACCCTAAAAAATTCGAAAATTAATTCAGCACCTATCACTAAAGATGGTGGAAATGTACATGATATACTGAACATAATATACTCGTATTTCACAATTCTACCTTCTCATTATTTGCAAAAACATTTTGTTCCTCAACAACGTTGTTTTATTGATTTCATAACTACTTTAAAATGTTCAATCCATCATTGTGCGGATTTTTTTTCCATTTTTTATTATATTAATTCTTCTATCTTTGATAGGTATGTTTTGCCAGACAACTGATTTATTATCCTGAAGGTTGTTCTTGTGTAATTGTTCGATGTTGCTTCTTCTTCTTCAATCAGTTTCCTCTCCAACAAATTTTGCTTGTCCTTTCTAAAAGTTTTTTTCACTTTTTTATATTCGTCCTTTAACCTATCGTCTGCACCGGCTTGGACTCTTGCCTTTTACATGACTTTTCTTCGATCAGTTAGTTTCCATGTGGGCCTCTTTTTCTTTTAATAGTGACTTCAGCACTTCTCTTCACTGCTTCTTTGTATTCCACTTCTCTTCCACTCCTTTATTTTCGTCCTTGTTTAATAATACTTCAAACTTATCTTGGAGCTCCAATTGATATTGGCTACTTAAAACTTTCGTTTATAAAGTTTTCTTCATAAAACGGCTTTATTAGATGACGCTTTTTGTTTAACTTCTTAAATTTCAATATTACTTTTGTTACGTATTTGAATTTCAAATATTCCGAATCCGAGTCAACTGATAATTTAAATTTAGTGGTTAAAATTGTACTTTGGATTTAGTATTTAAATATTTGCCGATATATTAGTCAATTTACGATATTTGCCAACAAGATTGATACACACACCGTTTTCGTTTATAACACAAATACGTTTTAATATACACATAAAAATACAATTTACAATAACAATTATTACAAATAGTTATTACAAACAAACATTTATAAACAGAAGTTTCACAAACTTACAAACAATATAAAGTTTTGTTTCTAGTCTGGAACTTCCTTGATATCTTATCGAGGGTTCACGATGAGCGAGTTAATTACGAGTTGATGTAGATATGATTCGCCAGGAAGCTAGCTAGCTTTGTCCTTTGTCACATTCGCTGAATTTTTGGTCCGTTGAAGTTAGGTAATGTTTTTGTAAAAATGCTAATGTCCGATGAAAATCCACTGAAGTTAAACGATTTTTAATGTTCGAAATTTATAAATATTCCTGGTCAAATATCTTAAGTTTCCCGATTGATAAGCGTCATAAAAATCACAGTTATAGCTTTCGAAGTTTATAGCACACTGATTATAGCGAACTACCAATATACATTCACTTTGGCGCATCGCGTTGGTTGTATAAGCGTGGGAAGGTTTTCTGGAAAATTCAGATTACATAACAGTACTGAGCTATATTTAAACGTTTACGTATATAGATATATTGTTGATTCTCATTCTTGAGAATCTTCTACAACTTTGGAGAATAGGCAGGAGTTTCGCAATACATACTTAACACTATAAGCTACGCATGTTTTAAAACATAAACTCAATCCAAATAAACGTTGACATTAAAACAAATATATAACAACAAATTCGTTACACTTTTTATTCACCAAGTAGTGATCTGAGCTAATATCCGCTCCTCTGTACACCTTCGTGTCAATTACGGATGAGCTAAACCATCTGCATATGCAAATGTAATCTATTTCGTTGTTAGTATTTCCATCAGGAGACTTCCACATGTATTTGTGTATTCTCTTGTGCTTAAAATAGGTGTCAGTGATTTTAATCTGCTTATTTTGACAAAATTCCAACATTCTGGTTCTATTGTCATTCAGTTGTTTGCACCCAAAGAGGCCAATAACATATTCAAAACACTCTCGTCTATTAGATACCTGAGCATTGAAATCACCCATAAGTATTACCAAGGCATAACTTGGTACCCTATTTATTACGTCATTCAATCTGTTGTAAAATGCATATTTTGCGTCCTCTTCATCATTATGTGTTGGTTCATGTAGTTGAATTATCGGGGTGTTTGCATGCTGCGATTGAAATCTAGCCATTATTATTCTTTCAGACACAGATTTTTCAGCTAACCAATGCATTCGCAACTTCTTTCCTCATCAGTATTCCTACACCAAGCCTTTCACTTCCCCCAGAGTATATGAATGCTTTATTTTCCATACTAATTTTGTTATTGCCTGTTCATCTTGTTTCACAAAGTCCCATGATGCTAAGTTTCAAATCGGATATATGCTATAGCATGACTTGCTGTACGAGATTAACTTCGCCGACAAGCATCTGCAAGATCTTGACATATCTGAAGCTATTCAAAAATTATAAAACCCAAATGGTCCTTTCACTGGTACAGTAATGATGAATGGTTTTCAGGGGCTTTTGTGGATGCAAAGGAACTTGCAGTCTTTTTTCGGCTATTCGTGCAAAGTTACACATGCAGTTCGTAATTCTGAACCGATAGAATATAAAGAAGGCAGCTTGTCAAAATCTTCCATTGTGAACTCAACTGGTCAGATCATTATTCGCTATTTTTTGGGGATGGTGGTGGTGGTCCACATTTGCATCGTTGCATATGCAACCGTACCTGTAATAAATGGCTTGTATATTGTTGCGTTACCATGGTAACTAAGGTGGTATCCCTATCACACATATTAGTTTTGCTACCAGTTTAGCATTTAAGGATTCTACTGGCTAGAAACCTTGCAGACATTACTTCAGAAAATGTTAACTAACATGGCCACACTAAAAGAAAGACTGTTAAATAATATTGTCACAATAAGGACGTGTGCTGTTTTGTATATTGACGTACCTCCCGAGTGGACCCCTATTATCATCCAATGTCATATATGAAACATCTTAGACACCTGGGAATAAAGTTGCAAGTGATGAGTATTTTCAATGTTCAGACTCGTTCATTTATAGGAAAGGGCTTAGTCACCTATTGATACTATTGTGATTATAAGATTAGAATTGCCTTGTGCACATGCCAGTGCTAATATTTACAGAGTTGGCGTTACAGAACCAGACTATGTGGACGTAACTTTTGAGGAACAGGACGAATATCTATTTGTAGTTAAAAAGTCAGTATCTTTGTACAGGAAGGCTCAAATAAAGTAATGAAACTACAGTCATAAACAGCAGTGTAGACAGCAGAAATCGACACATGTAATAAGTTACAGAATGATGTTTTCCATGTGACAATCCTCTCACTCTATATTCTGACATCAACTGTTACCATGATACCAATCTGGTTATTTTAGATTAACTCAGATTTCGTCTTTAGTGACACTTTGTACTTCAGAAGCACTAGACATTTGGGTGGGTCAGGTTTTGTGGTAGTATGGTTAGTGTTGAAAGTTCGAATCAATAGATATATATCATTAGGCGGTTTATCATACATCGAATTACCTACAAAGATACAAGATAAAGAAGTATTAAAGTTGAAGATCAAGAATGTTCTATGTATTGTATATCAGCATAGTTGCATCGAGTAGATAGAGAAAAATCACAATCCACAACGAGTTAGTAATTATAATAAACCAGAACAACTGAAAAGTATTAAAGAAGCACTCAAGACCCTGTTGCTATAAATGATATCCCAAAAGTTCAAAAGAAGATGAATATTTCAGTAAGTGTCTACAGTTACGATAAAGAATGTAATATTTATCCATTAAGTATAACTGAAAATAAACGAGGCGGCATGCTACTCTTTTATATGTAAAAATAAAGTTAACACACATTACTGCCAAAAGTCAAATAACAAAGCATGTAAGAAAAATATATCCGTGTGATAAATTTCTGCAGTATTTTTATTCAGAAAAAACATGAAGAATCCTGTAAAAGTGTTAGACAAAGGAAACTGTGAAGATTTAGTTATAAAATTTAAAAATATCAATAATTCACCAAGAGTTCCTTTTGTTATATATGCCGATTATGATTGCTTAAATATTTGTTATCTAGATCCCTCTCGGAATTATACAAATGCTTATCAAAAACATGAACCTATGAGTTTTTGTTATTATATCAAGTGTGTTCATGTACATTATATAGATCCTGTAGTTTATAGTGGAACAAACAGACAAACTAAATTCGTTAAATTGCTTAAAGGAGAAGTTGCAGAAATAGAAAAGACATATGGTAATAATAAAAGAATGGACGATTTAACTAAACAAGAATTAAAAAATAATGATATTTCTCCTATCTATAATCAACATAGGTGATGAAAAGAAAGTTCAAGACCATAATAATTTAACTGGAAAATACAGAGGATCGGCGCTCATAATAGCCGTAATTTGTTATAGAAATACTTCATTTATTTCAATATTTATTCATAAAGGTTTGGAGAGAGTTTACGATACAAAACATGGAAGAATATTCATATCTTATGTAAAGACTGATGTTTTTATATTAGCAGATATTTTATTATTCAGAGATGTTTATTTTGAACATATAAATTATACACTGCTTAGTATTACACAGCACCTGGTTTATTATGGGATGCAATGTTAAAGATGTTTAAGGGCCATGCTTTCTTGAGTATCGAA